CCATTGTTAACTGCCCTAGGCCTAGAGCAATGCTTGGAAGGAAGCCCTGGTTCCACAATTGTAACATCGGATACTTGTAGTGACAACTCTCCTAAGGCAGGACTGACACTGCGGGATGAGTGGTCTCCATTTAACAGTTTAACAGCAATACAGGTGGCAGAATTTGAAAATGCAAAGCTATTTTATTTATTACAGATACTTGTATAGCGCCGTCAATTTATGCAGCACTTTACATATATATCGTACATTCACATCAGTCCCTGACCCTCAAGGGGTGTACAATCTAAGGTCCCTAACTCACATTCATACATACACATACTAGGGACAATTTAGACAGGGACCAATTCCCCTACCAGCATGTCTTTGGACTGTGGGAGGAAACTGGAGTATCCAGAGGAAACCCACGCAGGCACAGGGAGAACATGCAAACTCCAGGCAGATGGTGCCATGGTTGAGATTCGAACCAGTGACCCTAGTACTGCCAGGCGGAAATGCTAACAATTTAGCCACTGTGCTGCCCAATTATAAGCCAGCTTGGGTGGACTGTGAGTTGAGATGGTATGAGTACGCCTTGGCTACCCTAAATGGATAGAACAAGTTCAATATATATATTAACACCTTTGCGCCGGCGCCTCTCAGCCCTTTAAGAGTTTCAGAAGCCAGGGGTGAAATTTTAGGGTCATTCGACTGCTGTGATTCGCTGTCACATGATCGGAAAAGGTCCTTTGATCGCAAGGGGAGATCAGGACCTTTCCGTGAGTCACAGACATATGTGCTGGGAGTGTGCAGGACGCGCGCTCTCAGCACATATGCATTTTCAAATGGTACGCAAATATGCGGCTGCTTGGTGTCAAGGCTCAGAGGCCGCATATATGTGTGTGTGTTTGGTGTCTAGGGGTTAAATATGAACACAGATGTGCCTCCTAATGTTAATTTGCTGGACCTAGAATAATGAGAAGACACTTTGCAGACTCTGCATATATCACTGGGGTTGAGAAATATTGAGAGGGGAGATTTCAGTGGGTTACTTCTCAGTGCATAAGAACATTTGACCAGAAACTATTTTAAAGTGTTAGTTCACCTACACAGAAAAAATTAAAAATGTGAATATTGTACAACATCCCCACTCCCTGCTGAACTTACGTCTGGCGATGCTGAGCTGTCAATGCTCTAGGGTGGGTGTCGGAAACCCGCGGCTCCGGAGCCGCATGCGGCTCTTTTTCACCTTTCCTGCGGCTCCGGAGCACACTGCCCACCAGGTGACAGGCAATAGGGTCGGCAAGCCGCGGCTCTTTTAATGCAGCTCTTCTATGTGCCGGGCGCCCGCTCCCCTCCCTCCTCCAAACATTGGCTGTCAGGATGTAGGCGGGGCAGCGTGACGAACTCCTCTCCTCTCACAGTCCGCCCTGAAGACCAGAACGGTGCGGGAGCACAGCTAGAGGAACGCGCGGAGCAAAGGTAAGTGAATTGACACAGGGGGGATGAATTACTATAGGGGGGATGAATTACTATATGGGGGATGAATTACTATAGGGGGGATGAATTACTATAGGGGGGATGAATTACTATAGGGGGGATGAATTACTACATGGGGGATGAATTACTATATGGGGGATGAATTACTATATGGGGGATGAATTACTATATGGGGGATGAATTACTATATGGGGGATGAATTACTATATGGGGGATGAATTACTATGGGGGATGAATTAATTACTATATGGGGGATGAATTACTATATGGGGGATGAATTACTATATGGGGGATGAATTACTATATGGGGGATGAATTACTATATGGGGGATGAATTACTATGGGGGATGAATTACTATATGGGGGATGAATTACTATGGGGGATGAATTACTGTATGGGGGATGAATTACTGTATGGGGGATGAATTACTATATGGGGGATGAATTACTATATGGGGGATGAATTACTATATGGGGGATGAATTACTATATGGGGGATGAATTACTATGGGGGATGAATTACTATATGGGGGATGAATTACTATATGGGGGATGAATTACTATATGGGGGATGAATTACTATGGGGGATGAATTACTATATGGGGGATGAATTACTATATGGGGGATGAATTACTATAGGGGGGATGAATTACTATAGGGGGGATGAATTACTATAGGGGGGATGAATTACTATATGGGGGATGAATTGCTATAGGGGGGATGAATTGCTATATGAGGGATGAATTACTATGGGGGGATGAATTACTATATGGGGGATGAATTACTATGGGGGATGAATTACTATATGGGGGATGTATTTTCAGTTTTAAAAATGTTTCTCTCAAAATAAATTTCAATCGTGGTTTTGGCGAGATTTGGCTCAGTTGAAAAAAAAAGGTTGCCCACCACTGACCTAAGGCTATGATTGTGATTATGACGATACACTGTGGCCCTGGTTAACCCTTTGCTTACTGGGCCCTTAAACCCCCTTCATGACCAGAGCGCTTTTCGCAATATATGCAGTGTCGGATTTGTTTTAAATGTTGCAATGGTTTTGCGGCTCCCAGTCTTTTTTTCCCTCTCGGAAACGGGTCCAAGTGGCTCTTTATGTCTTAAAGGTTGCAGACCCCTGCTCTAGGGGCTATTTCAGCGGTCCAGGGAATCCCTGCTCTAATGTGTGCACCATTTCTGGAACGGACCAGAGCAAGTCACTGTGCGCAGGCATTGACTAATCAGAATTGCTCTGGCACATTCCAGAAATGCTACACCATCTGCGTGGGGGGCATCGACACCTCAAGTACAGCAGGGGCCGGGGGGTTAGGGAGGGTGTACAGTGTAAGTTCACTTTTTCGTCTTTTTTCTGTAAAAAGGTGAATAACCACTTTGGCGGCATTCACACATGGCTGTTTTGAAACGTGGGCAGAATAACCGCGATTTTGCCAGCGATTTCAAAACACTCTGCTAAAATGGCAAGTCGCGAAATCGCATGTTCAGGTTGCATTCATTTAAATCTGAAAATGTGGTGTAGTTCTGCCGCGATAAATTGTGGAAAACTGCATGGCACAAAGCGCTCTGCCCATGAGCAGTTCCTGAGCTTCTTTTAGGCATTACGCTTTGCACAATGCTGTTTGCAAGGATTACAGTGCAATTTATCGCATGATTCGCACCACGTTTGCAGGTGCCATTAATATGAATGGCACTTGAACACGTAGTTCTGCAATTTGTCATTTTAGCAGAGCATTTTGAAGTCCCGTGATTCAAAACGCCCAAGTGTGAATACAGCCTTTAACCTTTCCGAGCCGACGGTACGCCTAGGGTAGGCCTTAACGCTGAGTACGCATATATGCATACCAGAATGTAAAACACATCTATACTGAGAGTGCGCCCACCCAGCTCAGTAACCGACAGCTAACAGAAAGTTCAAAAATGCTACTTGCGACCTGGAGCTTTCTGATCATGTGATCTGCTGTGACATCCAATCATGGCAGTCACATGATCAGAAACCCTGCCCCACCTTGCAGCATCAGAAACCCCTTAAAGGGCCAGGAAGTACCGGCAGGGGTGGACTGACCATTTGGAAACGGGCACTGCCCGAGGGCCCAGGGTCAGTAGGGGGCCCCTTGAGATGCCCCTGGTACCCTTTTCATAGGCTTTGAGTTTGGGCAAGGACACAGGGGCCTCATGAGTTGTCAGTACACCCCTGGGTACCGGTATTAACCTCCTTAGCGGTATTCCCGAGTGTAGCTCGGGTTTAAAATGTGAGTACCAAGAGCGGTAACCCCGAGCTACACTCGGGCTTACCATGCGGCGTTGCTCAGGGAGTCCCTGCAGCACTTACCTTGTCCTTCGCTCCCGCGATGTGTCCCCTGCAGCGTCCCCGGCCATCTTCTCCGGCCGATGCCGGCTTCCGTGTTCCGGTCCCTGTGACATCGGGACGTACAGGCGCCGGAACCGGCGGCAAATTTGAAATTTTTTAAAAATTTCATTTTTTAAAAAAATTATTATTACATAGTAAAACATTGCTGTTTCAATGCATGTCACATACATTTTGTCCCGCGTGCTTTGTCCGGCGCCCTGCCTGCATTTTGACTGTTCTTTCTGCCTGGAAACTTAGAAAAGTCCATGGCGTCCAAAAAGCGTCCTTTTACGTCAAAAGCGGTTTTAGACCGGCTAGAGAACAGCGATAGTAAATCAGAACCACTTGCAGAATTGAGTGATAATGATTCGTGGGGAAATTCCTCATCAGACACTGAGAACGATTTTGTGACTTTGCTCAGCGATGTGCGAATTTGCCTCTGTATTTCAAATTTGTGTTTTTGGTTTGATTATATTATTGAATTAAATTTATTATATTATTATTTTTTATGATTATTTATTAAATTATAATTTATGATTTCGTGTTTCAAATTTTATCATACCCGGAATGTTTACTAGACTCTTGTTCGGACAGATTTCAGTGAGTTATTCCTAAAAATTACAGCCTACAATAAAAAACTACATATTTCCATGCAAAAAAATTGGTACCGCTTTCAGCACAAAAAAAAAAATCGGAAATAATAATACCGCCGAGGAGGTTCAAGAAGTTAAGTAAAGGTTTTGCCCCATTCTCTCAACAGCTGGTCAATTCATATAGAACAAATGAACACACAGTGTTGATGGGCGAATAGCTATGATTTTTTTTTTTTTTTAAACTGTTGAAGGCATGCTGGATAATTTTTGCTTTTATTCCAGTCTGCATTCCTGCTGGGGAGATTCACTTTCACTATCTGCACCAGTGACTGCTGCACTGAGAACAAAAGTGATGGGAATTTTGACTTGTCAGAACAGGAATAGAGGGGAAATTTTTCAACGAGGACACAAGGTTCTGGTGACAACTGTCCAGAACGGGATTACACCTCATTTTTGAAGAGGTTTCCTCTTATTTTCTGTTGTATCCATAGAATCAGAACTCTAAAAACAAAAAGGAATACAAATGGCTATAGAGAACCTTCACACAAACAAAGTAGTGGTCAGATGTGACTACCTTTAGGCTGGATCCCAGGCACAGGATGACATCGGCCTTTTCAGCGGCTTTCACGGCTCCTGCCCAGTTCAGCGGCTGTGCCAGCTTCCCTCGCTCTCCAAAGTGCACAATAGAGTCTCTCAGTTCTCCTCCACACTTGTGACAATTACGTCCAGTGTTGTGTTTGTGAAGAGCAGTGCGTTCCGTCACGTCAAACAACCTCACATACTCTCGGTGTGGGGAACACAATGTACAAACCTAAAAGAGACAAAGAAAAAACGTTAAAGCTGACTTCAGCCTGCCCTTCAGTCTTGCACAGTTGTACAGGTTCCTATTCAGAAATGACTAACTTTCATTTCCCTGCACACTCACAATGTGCAGCAGAAGCCGCAGAAAGTCGCAGAGCCTGCCTCATATCCTGGCTGTAGGACATCCAACATCACAGTGTGGGCTATAACTAGAGCAGTCTGCATACAAAATACAGCCAGCCTAGGAATACCAACTCCTCCAAATTAACACCAGCCCATAAAGATTTTTGAACATTTCTAGGACTCTTCCTATGACCCATGAGGATCTATGATCTACGAGGATGGTGTACATTAGTTTGAGGTGATGTTCTGTTAAGTGTATTTGTGAGACAATGTTGTCCCATTTTATCTATATAGGAAGAGGAGTATTGCCTTTTGTATATGAATTTTTGAGAATTAATAAAATATTTTTTTCCAAACTGAAGCCATTGTGTCCGTAAGGCAGCTACTATATTATTATTATACAGGATTTATATAGAGCCAACAGTTTGCTCAGCGCTTTACATTACAATGGGAGACAGTACACGAGACAATACAGTAACAATTCGATTCAATACACGAGGGGTTCGAGGGCCCTGCTCCTTGGAGCTTACAATCTAGGAGGGGGGGGGGGGGATTGTGGTACAGGAGGAAACAGCTGTGGGGGATGGAGTGGTAGGAAGAGTGGAGGAGTTCAGTAATTAGCTGAGGGCGGGGTAGGCTTCCCTGAAGAGATTGGTTTTCGGAGTGTGTCTAAAGGCAAGTAGAGTAGGTGATAGTCTGATGGATTGGGGTAGGGAGTTTCAGAGGATGGGGGAAGCCCTGGAGAAGTCCTGGAGACGAGCATGGGAGGAGGAGACCAGGGAACTAGAGAGCAGGAGGTCTTGTGAGGAGCGGAGAGTACGTTTTGGGTGGAATTTGGATACCAGATCGGTGATGTAGTTTGGGGCAGTATTATATATGCTTGGGGCCACAGTCTCTGATTAGGTCCCTTGTTTTTTTCTTGTTAGGCCGGAGGGCTTCTGAAAGGAGGCAGGTTGTTGCAATCTTTCCAGGAAGCCATGTACAGCACTCTTCCCACCAACCATGATCTGCCTGCATTGCGTAGAGAAGCACAAAGCCCCAGTGATGACATCACTGGGACTAAAATAAGGTAATGAAAACAGAAAGCAATTAGATACCAACAACAGCCAGGGAACTTTTCTTTTCCTTTTATAAAAGAAGCATTTAGCAATGACGGACCCTCGTTTTACCTACCTCGGTTTACGAATGCCTCGCTTAAAGTAATTTTCGGTTTACGAATGAAAATCCATTGAAAATAATGCCTCGGTTTACAAATTTTTTTTGCGATATGAAGTAAGTTTCCCAAGGATGCATTGCGCCTGGGAGGTTTATAACCCCACCCCTGTGCATGCTGGAGTCTGTGGGTAGTACGTGGCGTCAAGTGTGGAGGAGTCGGAGCGGTTTTTTGCATCGAGTTATTGCTTGATTAATCATGTCCCTGTACAGTATTTATGCCTTTAAAGTGCACTTTATAAAGCGTTTTGCACAGATAAAAGACTTTTTTTTCACTTTTTTCTGACCTCTGGAACAGATTAATTGGTTTTCAATGCATTCCTATGGGAAACCGCTTTTTGGTTTACTAATTTTTTGTAATAAGAAATGTCCCGGAGAACGCATAGAATTTGTAAACCGAGGTACGCCTGTAATTTTATTAGCATGTTGATGGAAGAGGGAGAAGCGCCCAGGGAAGGCAAAATATAAGGAAATTAAACATCAAGTTTAGGCCCCTTTCAGACAGGGAAGACTCCGTCAAGTGGATCTCCTTGCTCAGTGGGGGGATCTCTCTGCTGATCCTTGTTGAGCAGGCAGATGGCGGTTGGTATCGGCTCTGCTATGCTGTTTTCTATGTGATGGTCGGATGGAAACAGATCAACTGTTTCCGACTGTCATCTCATCCGCCAGACAGATGGGGAACGGATCCCCATCCATCTGTTTTTAGTGTGCGGAATGGATCGGATGTCCACTGACAACCACCATGCTATAGAGAGCTATGGATGGTCTAATCGGATCGTCAGTGTGAAAGGGATCTAAGGGTCAATTCACACTGACTTGCGCTAAAATGTATGGAAAAAGGATGTAAATTCCCATCCATTTTAATTGCACGCTGACATTCATTGTCATACATTTTGACGTCAGTTGACATACATTTTAGCGTGCGTGGTGTGAATAGGACACATTGGTTTTTCAGATGTCCCTCCATTGATCTGCATTTTACAGCTGTGCCAAAACACAGTTCAACACACTGGTGTGAACTGTCCCTTAAGCAGCAAAAAGACATTACTGTACTATGGTTAACAAGTTTCTATATAAGTCAGGAAACCTGCACTGAGGAGAATACAGAGACTGCCTTTGCTAAACTCACTTTCCTAAAGGGAAAAAAAAAAATCCCTGGCTGTCATGGTGATCTGAAAAATTAAGAGTTCACATTTCACTTTCCACATTTTTATAACAGAGAGGTACGTTTCTGTAGTGCGCAGACAAAGTGAAGATCAATAATAAGACCTCACGCACAATGCAGCTGTCACATGCCCGTTTTACAGGCATTTTTTTATTTCTGCCCCTAAATGCCCCTTTATGTTCGCCTATGAGTCCATGTGCACATTATTTGGGGACAGAAATGTGAACGCACCAAAATTGCATTTAGGAGAGGAGCGGTTGTGCAGAAAACATGCCTGACGTGCTTAAGCTCTAACCATGTTTATTCATTTCAATGGCCAGAATAAATATTCTGGCTAATGAAATGAATAAACACCCAAACAAGTTTGACACACCTAAATGTGTAAAAAAGACAAAACACAAAAAAACCCGCAGCTTTAGGTGCAGCTTTAACCGCTTCCCGTCCGCCCTATAGCAGAAGTACTGCTGCAGGGCGGCAAAATCACATATATGTATGTGATTTTGCATTTCTGGGTAGGGGGCACACCCTACCCATGCCAAAATTCACAGCCGCGGCTGTCTATCACTGGGTCCCAGCTGGTGATTACTTGCTGGCGTCCGATGATTACCGAGCATCTCCAACGGGGGGAGAACTGATAGTAAACAAAACAGTTCTCTCCTCTGTCAGCTACTGCACACGGCTTTGCCATGCAAAGCAGTGTGCTTACAGTGAAGCACACAGACACAGTCTGACAGTAAAATGGCACACAGCACACTGTAAATCCTTTGATCACCCCACAATAACCCCTTCCTGCCCAGTGCCATTAGTACAGTGTCAGTGCTTTTTAATAGCACTGATCACTGTATTGGTGTCACTGGGTATATCAGTGACACCAAGTCAGTCTCCCCCAGTGTCATAATGCCTGCCCCAGTCCCGTTATAAGTCGCCATTACTAGTAAGACAGAAAAAAAAAATAATCCCAGTATATATACCGCCATTCGTAAAGGATATAACTGTCACGTAAACCAATTAATTTACACATATTGGGATTTCGTTTGGGTGCAGCATTGCATGACCGCGAAATTGTCAGTTAAAGTAACACAGCACAACACCACAAAAAAATGGCCTGGTCATGAAGGGGGGGGGCTAAATCCTCTGGAGGGCAAGTGGTTAATGCTGCTTTTCTCCTTTCAGGAGAAAAGTGTTCACAGAAGATTCTAGTGTGCATGAGGCCAAGTGATAGCAACAAGCAGAGGCACAGAGCACAGTTTGTTATCAGCGGACAGGATTTTTGGCAGGATCAACGGGTATTTTTGCACTAATCAACAGATATAACAAAATGCTTTCAATGGTATATTTACCAGACCAAAAGGGAGCAAATAAGTTATTATTATTATACAGGATTTATATGGCGCCAACAGTTTGCTCAGCGCTTTACAATATAAAGGGAGACAGCACAACAACAATACAGTTCAATACAAGAGGGATAGGAGGGCCCTGATCCTTGGAGCTTACAATCTAAGTTCATTGTTAGGATTTACCTGCTCTAATAGCCATCTCAGTCTGGTTGTAATGTATGGAGGAAAAATTAAATGGACACAAACATCCCACAGATGACGTAGATGTTATCTCAAGGTATACGTCTTACCTCAATGTACATGTTTCCATGTACTTCAGAAGTGGCTTCTCGAGGTAATCCGCTGCGGACGTGAAGTCCGTCGCAATTCTGTGACGCAACATGCTTCACCTGTAAAGGACAAATACTAGAATCGGATTGTCTGTCTCCTTATAGTCAAAGATCCTCCAGTATAACCAATACTTGCATTAATTTTTGGTAAAGTTTACATCCCCTTACCTCCCATAATACAGTATTCAGTTCTAGAGTATCCAATTGTCAAACCCAAGTGCTGTTACATTGGGACTGGATGGAAAGTCAAATAGTGTAGGGATAAAGCAACTCAACTTATAAAAAATAAAACTGCAGGGAACAGCACAGAAAAAAAATCAAATATTTGATATGTTTACCTGCAGAGCTTTTTCTTTCCGCGAACGTTTTTTTTTTCTTTTTCAAGTGACCTGCAGTGTGCCTCGGAACGCTCTAGGGAATTGACACTCCAAAAAGTGTCAAATCCCTAGAACAGCCACTCCATGCTCACATTTTATAGCCTTCTCCTCTTTTGAGAGTATCCAAACCTTGTCTGTGCAGGTCCAGCTCCTCCACTCAAGACTCTACATAATCTTTTGTGTAGCTGTCAGGAAATTCACGAAGGGTATATGGAGTCACTTGAGGGACAGTTCTGAGTCTGTTGGGACTGCTGACATCACATTCCAGATGGAAGCACCCAGCAGCAGTCTTTTAGATGTCTACACAAGGGAGGATGTTACAGGTAATGAACATGCAAACTTACCAGTCCTGCTCTGTGGAGCCGGGCAATGCACATGTGCGTGAAGGTTGGCTGAGCTTCACTTAGATCACCAGTGCTACAGAAATAAATAAAAAAAGTGTTTAGTGTTATATGGTAATCAAGAAGAGATATACACTATATTGCCAAAAGTATTGGTCGGCCGGCCTTTCCACACACATGAACTTTAATGGCCCCCCAGTCTTAGTCCGTAGGGTTCAATATGGAGTTGGCCCCGCCCTTTGCAGCTATAACAGCTTCAACTCTTCTGGGAAGGCCGTCCACAAGGTTTAGGAGGGTGTCTATGGGAAGGTTGGACCATTCTTCCAGAAGCACATTTGAGAGGTCAGGCACCGATATCGGGGGAGGAGGCCTGGCTCACAGTCTCCGCTCTAATTCATCCCAAAGGTGTTCTATGGGGTTGAGGTCAGGACTCTGTGCAGGACAGTCAAGTTCCTCCACCCCAAACTCGCCCATCCATGTCTTTATGGACCTTGCTTTGTGCACTGGTGCGCAGTCATGTTGGAACAGGAAGGGGCCATCCCCAAACTCTTCCCACAAAGCTAGGAGCATGAAATTGTCCAAAATGTCTTGGTATGCTGACTCCTTAAGAGTTCCCTTCACTGGAACTAGGGGGCCAAGCCCAACCACTGAAAAACAACCCCACACCATAATCCCCCCTCCAACAAATTTTACACAATGCCAAGTGTTGTTTATACACAGGTCTCTCTTCCGTCGGAGAAACTTGGCAATCACCGGGTGCTGGCGAGTAATCACCGGCCAAGGCCGGAAAAGGCACCCGGAAATCAACACACACACGCGCGCGGAAGATGATTGGTCACAGCAGGTCACATGGTACACAGCCGGGGACAGATCTGGGCAAGGCACGATACAGGTAGAATGTCATATGACGCCCACCCAGATCGGCGAGAGTCCCACCTGGCCGTCATTTTCCCATTGGCCGGGCGGGAAGTGGTTAAGGCCCTGTCCCCCGCTCCCTGGGCACTTTTGGGTACCCGATTTTGACAGGTACCCGCTCCCACTTCCGCTGTGATCGCCTAGGTGATCAGAAGCTGTCCTTACCGTAGTCATCTGGACTACAGGACCAATCACAAGCGCAGCACTACTCAAACATGTGCAGTGGGCACCCGGCTGTGAAGCCACAAGCTTTCACAGCAGGGTGCCCACACTGAAGATACCGGGGAGATAGGACAGCCGCTGAAGCCGGGTGCGGCGAGGACACCGCTAGATCAATGGACAGGCGAGTGTCTGTTATTTTTAAAAGTCAGCAGCTACAGTTTTTGTAGCTGCTGATTTATTTTTTTAGATTTTTAACTGGAGCTCCGCTTTAAATAAATGATTTTTTTTTACTGCTCTGCATTTACAAGTTTATATTTCATATATACATAGATCTGAATGATTGCCTCAAAGTAGCTGTATGTCAGACTGTGCAATCAGCATTCTTACTGAGTGACAGCCAAGATATATTCAGAGGTTAATCCACCCAGAGACTGTATGCTATTGAATTATTCATTATTAATATTATTATGCAGAGGTGCGAGGAACATTAAAGAACAATCATCACCCTGTGCTACACAAGAAGCGAATATAGCATGTATATGCAAGAAGCAAATATGGTGCTTCAATTACAGTTGTAAAAACTAGCAATAAAAAGTGATGAAATATGTCACAAATATATTGGAAAGAGGACAAAATATATTACAAAAACAATTCTCACAATAAACCAGAATGTATTCAAGGAATCATAAATTGACAGACACTATTTTTTAAGCCCAACAATTATACCTTAAATCAGCTCCTAGATTGAGCCCGGGTTCACATATATGTGGTTTGGTACATCGCATGTGATTCGTACAGGAACTGCACCGCATTCCTGTGCAAATCACATGCGAATTGTGTGCGGTGCGATTGGAGTCATACATTTTGTATGGCTCTAATCGCACCACACCCGCACCAAAAAGGTGCAGGATCCTTTTTTTGGTCCGCACTAGAATCAGATTGCACGGGTATTCACACCTATGCGATCTGATTCATCACATCACAGAGTTTGAGGACCAATTTTGGGGTGTTGTTAACTTACCATGCACACCCGCAGCGGTTCGCATGAACGGGGTGCGATTATGATGCGGTGCGGAATTTGCACTGAAAATGCTGCAAATTCCGCACCACATCAGTGTGAACCCAGGCTGAAGGTAAGGACAGGCACACTATGGTGCATGCACACATTATAGCGTACATGTAATGTAGAGCTCCACACAAAAGGGGAAGTTCCGCTTTAGGGCCTCGTCCCCCACTCCTCATTAAGCATTGGCACCTTTGGGGAGTGGGTACCCGATTTTGACAGGTACCTGCTCCCACTTCTGCTGCGATTACCTAGGCCAGGGGTCCTCAAACTACGTCCTGCCAAAGCCATTTATCCAGCCTGCCGGGCCAGCCAGACAAAAAACGGACCGGCAAATTAAAGCTAGACTGCTCACTGGGTCCTCGGCCTCAAGGACCCAGCACGCCGCAGACTGGAAGCCCGATTTCACCTACTGCAGCCAGAGGAGCAACAGGAGAGGAGGAGAGTACACCAGGCACCAGATACAGTGCATTGTGGTGTCCAGTGTGTCAGTGTACACTGCACTGTGGTGTCCAGAGCATGACAGTGCATTTTGGTGTCCACTGCGTTACAGTATACAGTGCGTTACAGAGTCCAGTGCATTTTAAACATTGTATTGTTTTTTCCTGGTTTTTTTTTGCACTACAAATAAGATGTGTGGTGTGCATAGGAATTTGCGCACAATTTTTTTTCAAACTATATTCCAGCCCCCCCAACTGTGTGAAGGTCTATTAACGGGCCCCGTTTAAAACGTTTGAGGACCCCTAACCTAGGCGATTGGAAGCAGAAGTTGTCCAACTTCCCCACACTCTACAGGTCCCAGAAGACTCCGGGACCAATCAAAATGTGCTGTGGGCACCCGGCTGTGAAGCTGCAAGCTGCCACAGCTGGGTGCCCACAGTTAAGATGCCAGCGCTGGGGACCGCCCCTTTGGGTGAGTTTGCTGTTGGATCCGGAGACAGATAGTGTCTGCTTATTAAAAGTCAGTAGCTAAAGATTTTGTAGCTTCTGACTTCATTTTTTTCAAAAACGACTGGAGCTCCCCTTTAATGTTTTGCACCAAATTCATGAATCATTTGTGGCATTTTTGGTTCTGAAAGTGGCTCGTGCACCAAATTCACATAGCTCTAAAATGCACCACTATTACATTGTGTCCCACTGAATGCGCCAAATGTAAAAGTGAAGCTAATTAAGACCAACTCTCTGTTGACGTACAGAGAAAAACTGGCTCAGATTTTGTGAGCGTCTCAAGTGCTTTATAAAATTGTTGCAACATGAGCCAAATTCAAGTACAAGTTCTAGACAGGTATATGAATTTGGCACATTCTTTTGCTATATTGTATATTATATTAAAAATGGTTTTGCATTGGTGACAGCATCGGTTTATAGCCTGTTCATTTCTATATGTCACATACTTATAGCAATTTTGTGCCATATAGCTAAAGATATTTCATACATTTTGGGCGCATAAAATAAGCGCATTAGTGAGCCAAACAGTGAGCGAGAAATGACTCCTTATGACCTATTAACACTGAGAAATAATAGATAATTTGTCACAATTTGCAACTTTTTTTAGACCATTTTGCACATCACTATTCTCCCTCTGCATCCCTGATAGTTTATTTGAGCCCATCGTGACCTATTGATAGTGGAGAATGAATATGGTCCTCTGCTGGACACCTCAAAGCTAATCCCCATGGTGCTGGCATTTTAGAAGTTCATAAAGAGCAGCCCATACTGTGAAGCCCGCCTTGTCCCTTTGAGTTCTCTCCGCACAATTCTGCAGAAGGAATTCTGATTGGACAAAAGGCCAATCACAAGACTTTAAGAGGCCAAGCAACTGTGATTTTTTTTTTTTTTCCCCTGGCACTTTTCCCCCCCCCATTTATTCATTGAAATGGACGTTGCTCGGTTTGCTTCATCACTGTGCTCTATAAATGTTGCAGTATGACCAGTACAACGAACCCCTCAGCTTTATATATGGGGCCCTTGTGTCTGCTCACCTCACGCTTCTGCCCTTGTTCAGTAGAGTCCAGACACCACTTGGTCCCCGATAGTCTGGAATAGCAGCTGCCTGTTGGGAGCAAACAGAGGTGTCACATAGAAAGACAAGCAATAACTTTGAATCAAAGATGTTTCAAGAAGCCACTTGGATCATCCCTGCTCATAGAGAGCAAATCACAAAAATGAAACTTAATACAAAAGCATGCAGCCATAATCAGGTGTTTAACCGCCTCCCGCCCGCCATATAGTAATATGACGGACGCAAGATGGTTCTCTCGTTCTGGGAGGACGTCATATGACGTTCTCCAATTGTCACCGCGCATGCGCGACTCCAGGAGCACGCGGCGATCGGCGGTGCGCTGTGTTCCTCGGACACAGCGGATCACCGATCTATGGAAAGAGCCGAAAATGTCGGCTCGGTCATGTGATCAGCTGTGTCCAAGCTGTGGACACAGCTGATCACATGTAAACAGGGAAATGCCAGTTATCTGCATTTCTCTCTCCTGACGAGCTGTCATGCTGACAGCTCCAGAGGAGAGCCGGTAATCGGCATTCCTCGGAGGGGACATCTACACAGATCATCAGAGCACTGATGATCAGTGTGCCCTGATGAGCTGTGTAGACCCAGCAGCGCCATCTGTCAGTGTCCATCAGTGCCAGCTCTGTGCTCATCCATGCCACCTGCCAGTGCCCAACAGTGCCACGTTTCAGTGCCCATCAGTGCCACATTTCAGTGCCCATCAGTGCCCTTCTGAGCTGCCTTTCAGTGCCACCCATCAGTGCCAGTCAGTGCCACCTATCAGTGCTGCCAATCAGTGCCGCCTAACAGTGCCAGTCAATGCCACCTAACAGTGCCAGTCAATGCTATATATGAGTGCTTCCTTTCAGTGCCCATCAGTGATGCCTGTCAATGCCCATCAGTGCCACCTACCAGTGCCTATCAGTGTCCATCAGTGCAGCCTATCAGTGCCCATCACTGCAGCCTAATTAGCGCACATCAATGAAGGAGAAAAATCACTTATTTACAAAATTTTATAACAAAAACTAAGAAAAAACAATTATTTTTTTTTAAATTTCAGTGGTTTTTAGTTTAAGAAAAAAATTAAAAATCCAGAGGTGATTAAATAACACCAAAATAAAGCTCTGTCGCTAAAAAATTATAAAAATTTCATATGGGTAAAGTGTTGCATGACCACGCAATTGTCATTCAAAGTGCAACAGCAATGAGAGCTGGAAATTGGCCTGGACAGGAAGGGGGTGAAAGTGCCCTGTAGGCTTGTGGTTAAACCTAATCAGGATGGCTAAGACTTGCAAACAAAATGGGGGATTGTGGAATGATTGTTGGTGACAGAAATCCTGGTTGCCGTATTTCAGAAACTGCTGACCCTTCTGGATTTTCATACACTACAGGATCTAAGAATTACAAAGAATGGGGCAAAAACACCGGCACAAAAGTGAATGGCCAGACCTACCACATTACGTGGATAAATACAATACACATTAGAAATGTAATGATTTCAGATGAACTCCACTTGTTCTAAAAGAAAGAAAATGCTGCAATCCTACTGTGGAAGAAGTAAAGCTTTCCAACCTCCCAGACGGCAAAAAACCTACAACACAACGGTCCATTTAGACTTTGCATTATGTTACAGCCCATCTGTGGGCTCCCTCTGTCATTTATCTCCATTCTTTTTTTTTTTTAATTATTTTTATTCGGATTTTAAAGTTTTCTTTTTCACAAGATAACAAAAGGAACAAAATATACATGATCTTGATATCCATCTCCCTTCTAATTGAGTGCTGCCAGTCCTCCCCCCGACCCCAAAAAAAAACAAAAACAAATGCCCCTTTTGTGACAAACGTGGTACCCGACCACTGTCCTTCTCACCAACTTGTGACAAAGGACTGGCCACTCTCACAGCGCGCTGTCACTCACATAACAATTACACTCTCAGCTGCATCCTGCACAGAGATTTTCCAGCTCGTGGGGCCACAGTCTAGCCTGAGAGCGACTGTCACTGGGTTAACTAGGCAATTAACTCTATAAGCTACCGCCGCCACCTTTTGACTGGGAAGGAAAACTCATAATCTTAGCATTAACAACTATGATTTTAGAAAAAAGGTCTGCAACACGCACGGTCACCATAGACAGGCATGTTCAAAGGTTTGTAATATAGTAGCACTCTTCAAAAAAAAAAAAAAAAAAAAAAAAAAAAAAGGGGATTCTGTTTCTTTGCATTAAAAGTCTTAGTGACAGTTTTAACACTTTCCAAAATAGGTTTTAGGAACGAAAAGGTCAAAATGGTGCAAATAAAATATTTACAGAAAAAAAAAGATGCACAAAGAAACCACAAAGCACCAGAGAGTTAAAAAGGAGTTGAAAATGAAGAATACTTGCAAAGTCCTTGGGTTAGAGTCCAATCGTCCGAGCAAAAACATTACAGTGGCTCTCTCATGTCCGGTTCGGTGTTGATATTAAAACAAGAGAGATCTGCTTGCAATCTCTTTTCATCTGATATCAAGGGGTGTGTTGACAGAGACCATCTGACCAATCATCCGGTTTAATAGATAGGTGCTGGGAAGTCACCACATTTATGACCAAGTCCCAAATATATTTTCTTACAGGGTGCAGCAACATAACTTCCTTTTTTGAAATGCGTGCAATTCAGGCTGTAGCGGCCATAGCGGGGCGGGAGTGGTCTCAGGCGACAGGCGTAGTTCAAAAGTTTTTGTTCTCTTCCAGGTCAGTCATCATCATGCGTGGGAACAGTGAGCAGCGTGCGTTTGCCGAAGAGGCCTACTTTTCTTGATGAATTGGACTTAGGGGACATTTGGTTCCAACAGGACGGAGCAACGGCTCACACTTCAAGAGCATCAATGGCTGTTTTAAGGGAACACTTCCCGGAGCGCCTCATCTCAATAAGGGGCGATTTGGAGTGGCCAGCCCGCTCCCCCGATTTGGCCCCTTGCTACTTTTTTGTGGGGTTTTTTTGAAATCCCGCGTTTATGTAAACCGTCCAAGGACCCTACAAGACCTGAAGGCCAACATCCACGCAGAAATTGCAAACATACCCGCTGCTATGCTGGTAAGGGTCATAAAAAACGCCAGAAATCGGCTTATTCAGTGTATGGACAATGGGGGGCGTCACCTACCTGATATGCTTTTCAAAACTGTGTAAAACAGAACTTTAGATATGTACCTAAATTATTAAAGACAATAAAAACAATTCTGATTCATAAAATTGGTTTTTATTGTGTTTTGAAAAAAGGAAGTTATGTTGCCGCACCCTGTATAAGTATTCATGTTTCTGAATACCTACCATTTACAGTCTACCATGCAGATTACTGTCCAGCATGAAATTAGCTTCAAAATGGATATAAATATGGCAAGTCTTGGATAACCATTTCACATGGGAGGGGTGTGAAGGCCTCTGGTACCTCCTACTATAGGGAGGGTTTGGGTTCACAATGCTACCCAATAACTGATGAAGGTGAATATGACTTTATTCTGGCTATACTCTCATAATTTCAGAGTTTAATTACTATATGGAGGATGAATTACTATAGGGGGGATGAATTACTATAGGGGGGATGAATTACTATATGGGGGGATGAATTAATATGGGGGATGAATTACTATATGGGGGAATGAATTACTATATGGGGGATGAATTACTATATGGGGGATTAATTACTATGCTTACTATGGGGGAATATTACTATACTTACTATGGATGACACATACACATCATTCATCTACTCTTGGTCCGGCCCCCGGGTCCAATATATGAACCCATTGCGGCCCTCAAGTCAAAAAGTTTGCCCACCCCTGCACTAAAGGCTTCCTGGGGGGGGGAGGGGGGGGGAGGAACCACTACTGCTATTCACCAACTTGTGCTACAAACCGTCATGGCTGAATCTGAACAACATGGCATCCTTGTCCTTCCACACAGCTTTGTGAGGCCTCACTAAAAGTTTCCATTATACCTTTTACTTAGCTAAAGCCACAGTGAGGTGCACTCCAGTCCAAAATCTTTATGAGGCAGGGTCCTTCTTCTGGTGTTTATGTCATGCAGATGGGGACAAGGACACCTTCTACTGGGTGTCCAGCAACAGGGTCTTTTCGGGATTCAAAAGAGGAGTGACATTACAGCAAGGGGACCACTCGGCATGGGCACATCAGCAGGACTGGTTTAGCACTCCCCGCAATCAGGACCGAAAAGGGATCTGGACAATAGACTTGGGGAAGTATATCTTGTTTCACAAGGCAAGAAAAAAATAAAAATAAAAAACATGCAGGATGAGTTAGAGAGAGGTAGGAGGGGGTTCATGCATTCCCTGGAGATGGGCTTTACCACATTGTGAAACCATGTTTTAAAGTGGAACTGAACCCTGCTGTGCTTTATGGCCAAGGAAGCTGCCATCTTAGCCTCTGTTTGATCTGCAGTTGCCATGGTGCTGCACATGTGACCAATTATCACACCAGCCATTTGAAGGCTTGACAGTTCAGTTGACAGCACAAGAAACGTGGACGGTTATTCACAGCATGCCTGAGTTAATGTAACTATTTTGGGAAGCAGTTCAATTGATGGGTTTAGTTCCACTTTAAAGCAGAGTTCCAGTCTCACTATAAAAAAAATAAAAGTCAGCAGCCTATGGTAGCAGAAGTGGGAGCAAGTAACTGTCAATTTCGGGTATCCGCTTCCTCCCCCCGCTCCCCAAAGCTGCCAATCCTTAACGGGGAGCGGCAAGCCAGGGGGGGCCAGTCTTTAAAGCGGAACGTCCCCTTTTGGGTGGAAATCCCTTTTATTGAGCTAGCAGCAGAACTAAACTTTCCATCGAATGACAGAATATCAAGCCACATAATGTATGGCTACAATTAGGATGACGTTATCCTTTAGCAAGGCCTTTTCATATCACGCCAAGGGATCCAATCATCCTCCTTACCGTGCTGATTCCAGCTCCAGTGTAGATGACCAGGTTTTTAGCACCACGCAAAGCATCTGCCAGTTCCAGCACCTTCTCCAGCAGCACTTCATCAGTGTCAACAATCTGGATAAGACAACCGAAAATATTCATGGCAACATTAACGATGACTTCCACCCAGATTTCCCAAGGAAGGCTGTCATCACTCCTCTATCTAGCAGTGTTTTATTTGGTGGCTATGATCAGCCTATTTTTCATCTTTCATACATCATGCACCCGATGATTCAGATTCCTCCTGTCAATATGATGGATACCTAACAGTGATTTGAATGATAAATGTCCCAGTGTGCTCCCCCAAATCAGTGATGTGCCCCCCTCCCCCCACAGCCCTATAGGTATTGTGCCCAGTGACTGCCCCCCCCCCCCCCCCCCAGCCCTATAGGTATTGTGCCGAGTGACTTCCCCCCCCCAGCCCTATAGGTATTGTGCCCAGTGACTGCCCCCCCCCCCCCCCAGCCCTATAGGTATTGTGCCCAGTGACTGCCCCGCCCCCCCCCTATAGGTATTGTGCCCAGTGACTGCCCCCCCCCCCAGCCCTATAGGTATTGTGCCCAGTGACTGCCCCCCCCCCCCCCCCCAGCCCTATAGGTATTGTGCCCAGTGACTGCCCCCCCCAGCCCTATAGGTATTGTGCCCAGTGACTGCCCCCCCCCCCCCCCCATAGGTATTGTGCCCAGTGACTGCCCCCTCCCCCCAGCCCTATAGGTAATGTGCCCAGTGACTGCCCCCTCCCCCCAGCCCTATAGGTAATGTGCCCAGTGACTGCCCCCTCCCCCCAGCCCTATAGGTATTGTGCCCAGTGACTGCCCCCTCCCCCCAGCTCTATAGGTATTGTGCCCAGTGACTGCCCCCCCTCCCCCAGCCCTATAGGTATTGTGACCAGTGACTGTCTTCCCTCACCCCATTGGTGATGTAATTGAAGCGGTCTCCCCCACCCTATCAGTGCTGTGTGCAGTGACTGTTCCCTCTTCCATATAAATGCTATGCCCTGTGATTGCACCACACCTTCTACATCAGTGTTGTGCTAAATAATTGCACCCCCTGTTCCATCAGTGCTGTGCCTACTGATTGCAACCCCCCCCCCCCCTCCATCAGTTCTATGTCCAAAGATTGTACCCCTCTTTCTCTATCAGTGCTGTACCCAGGAGCTGCACCCCTCCTCCATCAGTACTGTGCCCAGTGACTACATCCTCCTGTTCCATCAGTGCAGTGCCCACCAGTTGCATCCCTTTTTCTCTATCAGTGCTGTATCAAGGAGCTGCACCTCTCCTTCTCCATTAGTGCTGTGTCCAGTGATTGTACTACCCCCGCCCCCCCCCTCTCTATCAGTGCTGTAACCAGATACTACACCCCCATCCTTCTCCAGCAGTGCTGTGCCCAATGAATGTCCTGATCAGTGTTGCATCCTCTAAATCGGTGCTCTGCCCAGTGAGTACACCACCACTTCTCTATCAGTGCTGTACCACAGTGATTGCAACTCTCCCCCTTTTCCATCAGTGCTGTGCCCAGGAGCTGCACCCCATCATTCTCCATCAGTGCTGTGCCCAGGAGCTGCATCCCATCCTTCTCTATCAGTGCTGTGCCCAGTGACTGTCCTCCTGATCAGTGTTGCATCCTCTCAATCAATGCTCTGCTCAGTGATTGCATCCCACCTTCTCCATCAGTGCTGTACCCAGCAATTGCACCCTTCTTTCTCCATCAGTGCTGTGCCCAGGAGCTGCACTCCTCCTTCCCCATCAGTGCTGTGCCCAGGAGCTGCACCCCTCCTTCCCCATCAGTGCTGTGCCCAGGAGCTGCACCCCTCCTTCCCCATCAGTGCTGTGCCCAGGAGCTGCACCCCTCCTTCCCCATCAGTGCTGTGCCCAGGAGCTGCACCCCTCCTTCTCCATCAGTGCTGTGCCCAGGAGCTGCACCCCTCCTTCTCCATCAGTGCTGTGCCCAGGAGCTGCACCCCTCCTTCTCCATCAGTGCTATGTCCAGTGACTGCACCCCTCCTTCTCCATCAGTGCTGTGCCCTGTGATTGTCCTCCTGATCGGTGTTGCATCCTCTCAATCAGTGCTCTGCTCAGTGATTGCATCCCTCCTTCTCCATCAGTGCTGTGCCCAGGAGCTGCACCCCTCCTTCTCCATCAGTGCTGTGCCCAGGAGCTGCACCCCTCCTTCTCCATCAGTGCTGTGTCTATTGACTGCACCCCTCCTCATTCAGTGCTGTGCCCAGGAGCTGCACCCCTCCTCATTCAGTGCTGTGCCCAGGAGCTGCACCCCTCCTTCTCATTCAGTGCTGTGCCCAGGAGCTGCACCCCATCCTTCCCCATCAGTGCTGTGCCCAGGAGCTGCACCCCTCCTTCCCCATCAGTGCTGTGCCCAGGAGCTGCACCCCTCCTTCCCCATCAGTGCTGTGCCCAGGAGCTGCACCCCTCCTTCCCCATCAGTGCTGTGCCCAGGAGCTGCACCCCTCCTTCCCCATCAGTGCTGTGCCCAGGAGCTGCACCCCTCCTTCCCCATCAGTGCTGTGCCCAGGAGCTGCACCCCTCCTTCCCCATCAGTGCTGTGCCCAGGAGCTGCACCCCTCCTTCCCCATCAGTGCTGTGCCCAGGAGCTGCACCCCTCCTTCCCCATCAGTGCTGTGCCCAGGAGCTGCACCCCTCCTTCCCCATCAGTGCTGTGCCCAGGAGCTGCACCCCTCCTTCCCCATCAGTGCTGTGCCCAGGAGCTGCACCCCTCCTTCCCCATCAGTGCTGTGCCCAGGAGCTGCACCCCTCCTTCCCCATCAGTGCTGTGCCCAGGAGCTGCACCCCTCCTTCCCCATCAGTGCTGTGCCCAGGAGCTGCACCCCTCCTTCCCCATCAGTGCTGTGCCCAGGAGCTGCACCCCTCCTTCCCCATCAGTGCTGTGCCCAGGAGCTGCACCCCTCCTTCTCCATCAGTGTAGTACCGAATGACTGTTCCCCTAATCAGTGTCGCATCCTCTCCATGATTGTTCTGCCCAGTGACTGCGCCCCCCCCCCCCCCCCCCCCCGTGCGAACACACACCTCCTCCTCCCGGGCCGCGCCTTCTCCCTCCTCTGCCGGTGTCTCTCTAGCTCCCGGACCAGCTCGGCGTAGCTCTCCAGCAGCTGCCGCTCCCCGGGGCTCCTCTCTGCCGCCGTCTTGTGTAATATTCGGGAGATCTGTGGGGAGAAGGCGGACAGTCCCCGTTATTACCGTCCTTCCCGCCTCTCCCAGCCCGCTCCCCGCCGCCTCCCACCTGCCTCCTCCGCTCCCTCTGCTGCTCCCGCCGCACGATCTCCTCCCGCATCTCCGCTTTCCGCTCCGCTCGGCCCATTCTACCGGCAACTTCACTGCAGACACAGCACAAGCACTTCCGCTTCCGGGAGCGGCCAATACCGGATGTGACATTTCTCCCCACACCCCCCAAGCCTTCTCTGGTTATTCAGCGACCTAGTAACCCACAGCAACCAGAGCGCAGGCTTCAGGGGCCTAGAGTAGCCTGGCTTCTGATTGGTTGCCTTTGGTTACAGCATACTATTAGTATACCATAATAACCAGAGACCTAGCATGACCTGGCTTGTACAAACAGCCTTCTGATTGGTTGCTCCGGGTTACTGCACACTAATAGTATCCCAGGGCAACTAGAGCAAAGGCTTCAGAAGCCATCGTGGGCTCGGTCTTTACAGACTGGATTCTGATTGGTTACTCTTGAGTTTTCCATAAGAATAAGGTACAAGGCAAAAATACAACAATAGCAATCCGGGTCTAACCAGTAAAAAAAATTAAATTTCATCATAAATTAAGGCATTCTGTGACATGTCTTTGGTGAAAAAAATCCCAATACGTGTAAACTGGTTTCCGTGAAAGTTATAGCATCTACAAATGGTATATATACGGGATTTTTTTTTTTAATTTTTACTAGTAATGGCGGCAATCAGCGACTTGTAGCGGGACTGCAGCAGACATTCTGACACTGGGGGGGAACTGACGTGGTGTCACTGACATCCCCAGTGACACCAATACAGTGATCAGTGCTAATAAAAAGCACTGACACTGTAACAATGGCACTGGGCAGAAAGGGGTAAACGTGGGGTGATCAAAGGTTTAACTGTGTGCCGTTTTACAATGTGTGCTGTGTTTCTCTGCTTCACTGTAACCACACTGCTTTGGAACACAGCCACGCAAAGCAGTGTATCGGAGCTGACAGGGAGAACTGTTTTGTTTACTAACAGTTATCCCCCCCCCCCCATCGGAGATCTTTGGCGATCACCGGCTGGGACCGGGTGATTGACAGAACACATTTACCATACAGCATTATAAACCCAGACTAGCCAGGGGGGAGCGTGGGAAAAGCACATGTCAATCACGACTCCCATATTTTCAAAAATTTTTGTTGGGAGTCATTACAGATACTTGACATTTGTTCATTGAGCATCAGAGTGGTCATACGGTCCCGCAACCCCTGAAGAGGAACATACGGGCTCTTTCATGCCTGGGCAATTGTTCTAGTGGCCGACAGAAACAGGAAGCCAACTTCTGCTGGTGAGCCAACAGGCCCGGTATGGGACAATGAAGCAAAGCATACTGAGCCTCTCAGCGTATGGAGAGATGGAACAAGGTGTAAAGAAGGCCAAAGGTACAAGAACAAAAACTAATCAGTCTTGGACATGACCACCATATATGCAACACATCTCCATGATGGCCACAACCCCGAAAGCAGCGATCACTATAGGCCTGGGCTATACGAGCCGGGATCCAATACCAACGAACCAGTACTTTGTATGTCGCCTCCAGCGTGGCCATATTAAATGAACATTTAGCTACAAACAACCAGGCCTTATTCCAGTTCTCCAGATCCACGACTGTCCCCATGTCATGCTTCCACTGGACAACATATGATAAGAGAATTGCGGATTGGGCATTTGCTTACCATTCTTGACAATATGTATGTACCCATCAACCTCCATTGATGTTGAAGCTCTGTATTCGAGCATTCCGCATGATAAGGGTTTATTGACCAACTCCGGCTTTTTGAGTTCGAGGAGTTTGGAGGCTACTTCTTATAATACATTCATTGTGGATATGTTGTCCTTTATTTTGACACTTAATGCTTTCACTTTTGACAGCTCCCACTACCTCCAGTTGCAGGGGGTGACGTTGGTAACAACATGTACCCCATCGTACACCAACCTGTACCTGGGGGGGTGAGAGCGTCACATTTTTTCATGTGATGAATTGTCAGTCTATCTGCCCCACATATTACTGTGGCGCAGATATATCGACGACATTGTCATTTTTTGGACGGCGTTGAGTGATTTGTTGAAACGTTTTGTGCATGAACTCAATCAGGACAATTTCAATTTATCTTTCACACTCAATTGGGATCATAAATGTTTGCCTTTTTTTTGGATCTATGTCTTCCCAAAAACCCTGATGGGTTAATTATGACGGACGTATATCGTGAAAGCACAGCAGGAAATTCACTCCTTCATTTTAGCAGTGCTCACCCTGCTCATCTAAAAAATTCAATACCTGAGAGCTAAACGTAATTGCAGTGATGAATTGGACTATAAAAAACCAAGCAGATAATCTTTACAAAAGATTTAAGGATCGTGGCTACAGTAATAGGTCTTTAAAGAAAGCATATAGTGAAGCTAACAATAGCCCACGGGATTTCATCTTTCAGGGTGAGGTGCCGACAAGTGGACAGTCATCAATCAGGCCCATCATGAAATATAATGACAGACATAAACAACTGAGACATATTCTGAGCAATCGCTGCCATTTATTGCTTGATGACCCTACACTCAATCGACACATTGACCCCTAACCACATATTACTTTCAAACGTAATCAATCTTTGAGGGACTTACTTGTAGCGAGCCATTTTACCATCGATCCTAGCAAGGATCCTTGTGACTCTCTTCCAAGAGGGACTTTCAGATGTGGAACATGTTCATACTGTCAGTTCATTAAACAAGGTAAATCATTTATTCTACCCAATGGGGAGACCTTTGAGGCAAAGCATTTTGTGAATTGTAGGACAGTTGGTATTGTATACTTGCTCACATCTGGCTGTGATAGCTATTATGTGGGTAAACAAAATTTTTGGAAGCATATCAAAGATCATGCTTCGGACATAAGATGTGGCATCATGGAAAAAACAGTTGCTAGGTATTTTGCGAGACATCACAATTACAAAACTGACTCCCTCTAGTTTCAAGCCTTGGCTAGGATCCACCCCTCTCCTGGAGGGGGTGATTATGACAAAAAGGTCCAACAGATAGAGATAAAATGGATTTATAAGCTACGAGCGAATTATCCACCAGGGCTGAATGAGGCAATCCGTTTTGCCCCTTTCTTACAGACATAAGTTTTGATCGAACATTATTTTTTTTTTTTTATACTGTATACCATCGTAGCTCCTTCCTCTTTGATAACCTGTAATAGGTGATTAATACTACATATGAATGATGCATATTGTTAACCTTTTTGATATCTGCTATGGTATATCTTGATGTATAAATTGATATGTATATCAGTTTAATTATGGTTATTTAATGTAAACCCCCTTTGATGCTGCAGAGGACCTCCGAGAGGTACACTTTAATTAAGAATTGGTCGTTATATATTTGAATAGAATTTATTATTATGGTATTTTGGGTGTTTTCTTTCTCTCTGTTTCATATTTCTACAGTATATTTTGCAAGTGTGTGACATAAGATGTGTTGTTAGACGATGCCGTGCTGTGTCGGGTCCGTGTGCCCGTTTTTATTTGTTTAAACCGGTCGTAATTCGGCCAGGCTATTGGTTTTCTTTCCTTTTCCCCTGCTGTTTCAGTATGGTTTGGTTTATAATTTGCAGCTTTTTATTGTAGATCATGTTGGCTGTTTGCTTCCTGTGTTGGTCCCGGAAGCAACGCGGTGATTAGTTCGCACATCACTTTCGGTATGGGGACTTTGTTCTGTGTCACTTCCGGTTGCGGCTTCCACAATCTGGAATTGCCCCGCTCACCACCCACGATAGCAGGTGTGATGGTGAGGGCGGTACTCGTCCCCATGGACCTGTGGCGTTGGGGATCGGGTCCCACGTCATTTCTGGCCATAATTCCACCAATCGGAATGGCCCCACTGACAACCCACGCATAGGGTAAGAGAGAGAGGGGGAAGGCGGTACTTGGCCCCCAAAGACCACCATGGCCATAAGCATGGGAGTGTGGATGGTATTCCACGCCCTCTGAATGGGGGGGAGGAGCCCACCTCCGCACCTTAGGCATGTTAGGATTTTCCTTCCCCCTCAGATGTGGAGGTGGCCTCGGGGGGGGCTAATTTTAGCATTTAGACTACATATAGCCCACCACCATGTGGGGAATTCCTCTCTGTCACCATTTTGACCATGTGCTCTATCGGTGTTGGTAGTGCAAAAATTGAACTGGGATCCTAGGTAAGTCCTGATGATGCTTCTCTTATGTGTGATGGAATGTTTGGAGGTCTGCAACATTATTTTGAGTCTACTTTGGGCTATTATTGGATTTATGATTGGATTTTTTTTGTTTGTTTGTCCTTAGATCCGCTTTTTTGGATACCGAGCAATCTTTATAGACAAATATAGCTGGTGTCTCAAATCCAATAACTAATTGGAGATGTGTTGCTAGTGATGATATATCTATTTTTGAAATCCTTCGGGTTGTAGGATGTTGACATCTGAGGTAAGACTTTTGTATGGAGGTGGGTTAGTGCTGTCACTGGGATGGTTCTGATATATATGGGATAGATCATTTTGGTGTTTTCCATTTTGTTATGCAGCAGTCCTTTGCAAGTGTTGCTAATTTTGAGACCCTCCCCACAGGCCTGGCAGGTGCATGTCATTGGGACACATATGTATGTACACACACATATATAATTATTTTTCCTTTTTTTTTCTTTTCTTTCTTTGTAACCTTTCTGATTTTGCCTCGCAGTTCAGAGTGGCTATTTATCAATTGGGGTTCATTACTTCAACTATGTTCATGTCATGTAATTGTTACATATGATTGCTTATAGTGCTATGACTGTTATATGATGTCATTAATTATATATATTTTGTCCTAGAAATACCTTTCTTTCCCTGCAATTCCAGCTGCAAGTCTTTTTGGGGATGTCTCTACCAGCTTTGCACATCTAGAGAGGGCCATTTCTGCCCATTCTTTGCAGAATAGCTCAAGCTCTGTCAGATTGGGTGGAGAGCATCTGAACAGCAATTTTCAAGTCTTGCCACAGATTCTCAATTGGATTTAGGTCTGGACTGTGACTGGGATATTCAGGGG